TAATATTATAAAATTATGACTTTAATCTCATAATATCATGACTTTAATCTCGTAATATTACGACTTTAATCTCATAATATTATGACTTTAATCTCATAATATCATGACTTTAATCTCGTAATATTACGACTTTAATCTCATAATATTATGATTTTATTCTCGTAATATCATGACTTTAATCTCGTAATATTACGACTTTAATCTCATAATATTATGATTTTATTCTCGTCATATCATGACTTTAATCTCATAATATTACGACTTTATTCTCGTAAAATTATGACTTTAATCTCGTAATATTACTACTTTAATATCGTAATATTATGACTTTATTCTCATAATAATAATTTTAAAAATCTCGTTGTGTGGCCCTAATACTCCGTCGTTGTTAAAAGCAGTAGAGGAGCTGCTGATTTGATCCAATTGAACGTGAGCACGCAGCTGATGTTCACGTCTGTTTTCCATCACTATTGTTAACATAAAAAAAAAAGATTTTCCTCTGTGGACTCTTCACTCAACAAATCACTGATGGTTGAGTGATAAAAAACACACTATCCAGCACTCATTAATCCAAAATGACGCAATCATCAACCTGCTGTCTAACGTCATATTGAAGTATAAATGTGGTGGAGGGGTTTGAGAACCCCAGTGATCCTGGGGTCTCTATTGTCTGGGGCATCGATCTCTGGTAGGTTCTCCCATGGCAAAAAAAAAAAAAACAAACAAACAAAAACCAACTTATGCTTTAGGAAAGCTCAGCCAAAAGAGGGAAACTGGGGCACCTCCCTGGAGCCAGTCCAGGCAGGAGCCTGGTCTTCAGCCAAGCCTGAAACAAAAACAGGATTCCACCTCCACATGGGCCACCTGTGAGGACGACCATTGAGGTCAGGTGCAACGCAAGTTCAAGTCGATGCCTTGTGGCATAAACTACACCACTTGTGCGTTAGGTTGAGTGCTACCAACTAGATATAGCTGGGTTCACTCCTACTCATYGCCTGGGCTCTGGAAACAATCTCCTGGAGAGGGGCTGAAGGGGCCCTGTGGCAAGTAGGGGTCTCTGCAGAACGTGTTGTCCTGTGGGCGGAGACGGCCCAAATCGTCATTGGCCGAGGTCTTAATGTGGGCGGAGACGTCCCTGCTCGTGATTGGCGGAGGTGTTGATGTGGGCGGAGACGTCTGTGTTGATGTGGGTGGAGACGTCCCTGCTCGTGATTGGCGGAGGTGTTGATGTGGGCGGAGATGGCCCAAGAGATGTGATTGGTCGGATTGACGGTGGGGTATGAGCGATGCTGGAGGCAGCGGGGAGTAGCTTGATCGAGTCAGGCAGGAAGTAACGTTTTTTTAGATTAATTTTAGTCATAACTTGAGAAAGGAAAGTGCTAGCTGCACGAAATTTGAACGTCTTACACGTGAAAGGATGTGTAACAATATGGCTTGGTTAAAACATCCCTAACTAGCCTGTAAAAAAATATTGATTTTTAGCGATCTATTTACAGGCTGGTTAGGGATGTTTTAACCAAGCCATATTGTTACACATCCTTTCACGTGTAAGACGCTCAAATTTCGTGCAGCTAGCACTTTCCTTTCTCAAGTTATGACTAACATTTTTCTTAAAAAAACACGTTGCTTCCTGCCTGACACAATCAAGCTACTCTCCCCGCTGCCTCCAGCCTAGAGCTAGGCGATATAATCAAAATTTTATATCATGGTATTTTCAACATTTTCACCGGTTTCACTGTATTTGACGGTATTTTTCTTTTCATCACAGCTCAGCTGATAATAAAATGTACAAACCCTGCTTAGTGACTTTTTTCTTTTACTGTACCTCTGTCTGTGTCTCGGTTTCCCTCCTCTGTGTCTGTTCTTCTCTGACT